AGCACTTCAGCACCCGTTTCAGTGGGACTACGCACAGGCCCAAGTCACACGTTTGCTTTCTCCTTGCAAGTCAATGCACCAGGAGCACTTGGAAGAGGGGAAGCTTATCCAAAGCACGGGGGGCTCCGGTGCTGGTTCTGCGCAGCCCCCTGCGCTGCGGCGGGCGCCAAGAGGCAGCAGGGGATGTTTCCATGCCAGGGCACGAGCTCCTGCCCACCTCCATGTGCTTCCATTACAGTAACTGCAGCAAAAGAGGGTTTTTTTTTTTTTTAAAGCTCTGAAAAGGCAACCAGGTTTGTATTAATGGCAGACATCTGTATCTGCTGTAGTAGACACTCGCAAAGCTTCGTAGATGAACGTCAGGATATGTGAAATAAACCTTCCTGCCCCCTTGCCCCTACAGAGCCTTCCAAAAAAGACGGTGTCGCTCTGGTCTTACATCAACAGCCAGCTGGAGGACTTCACGAACCCGCTGTACGTGAGCTACGCCAACCACGTCCTGTACCCCGTGGCCAGCATGCGCCACCTCGAGCTCTGGGTCGGCTACTACATCCGCTGGAACCCCAGGATGAAGCCGCAGGTAACAGCAGCTCCTGGTCCTGCTTTTATTTCCTGCTCTGGCAGTAGCAGCGCTGTCGCTTTGGAGCACAAGGGCTTCAACTGTGCAACACTTCCATGGCAGCAGCTTAAATTTAAAACCAAAAGCCTAAATTCAAATCTAAGCAAATGAAACAAGCAGCTTTTACACTTTGTCAGAATAGGGGTTTGGCTGGAAGTCACCGCCTTGTGAATTAACAGGCAGTCACGGTCCATTTATGTGAGCTAAGGGAAATCTGCAGGAGCTGAAGATAACCAACAGTTTGGGAAACTTCTCACCTTGAATAGGGGCAAACGCTAGCTGAAGCCTCCCTTCTTTACGAAAGAGCCCACGTGAGACTTCAGTGATGGGATGGAGTCTGGACCTGAGCGCGGGGGCTGTGTTGGGCTGCCTGCACTGGACACCTGCTGCCTGCTCCAGCTGCCCTCACTGCAGCCCTGTTACGGTCTTGAGCTTCGGCAGCCGCGTGTCGGAGCGCCCAAGGCCCCTGAAACAGCCTGAGTATATTCCTAGGTGCTGAAATCACTTTTTAATCATAATTAATCACTTCAAAAATTCCAGATTGCCAGTGTCCAACTTCAGGTGGCAAATCTGGGATATTGAATACAGCAACCTCACAGATGCTTTTGGGTACAAGTTTTGTTTAACAGTGGAGACCATCTGAAAATATTTAGAAATATCACTATTACTTTTATTTTCTCCACAGCTCTGAGATTATGGCCAGGCTGAGATGCTAGAGTATCCTCTAGGCAAATCAAGAGTTCTGTAGCTGTGAGCCTTCAAAATTTACATTTATACCAACTTTTATTTTGGTTTTAATTGATCATTTAGCTTATTCCTAATCTGATATTAAAAAAAAATGCAACCACAAAGTGGCATCCTGCATCAGGCTGTGTGTGGTGGGTAAGAAAAGAGTCTCTCAGAGAAACTAATTCATCACCCTGGTCTGGAAACTGTGACCGAGCTCCATCCCATGTCCCCGGAGTCAGCGGCTCTGTTGCGTGTTCCCCGCTGGCCGGCCAGACTCAGCTCAGGGTTTTCTTGCAGGAACCCGTCCACAACCGCTACAAGGAGCTTCTTGCCAAGAGGGCCGAGCTGCAGAAGAAGGTGGAGGAGCTGCAGAGGGAGATCACGAGCCGCTCCAGCTCGTCCTCGGAGCGCGCCGCTTCTCCTGCTCAGTGCGTCGCGCCGGTGCAGACCGTTGTGTGACAACACGGACCTCTTCGCTGGGTCCCTTCCTGGGCCCATCAGGGCAGCTGTTCTGAAACACTCTCCATTCCCATCGTGGTGTCTGGGAGATGCCAACTTATTTATTTATTTCTCTCCAGGGTAATTTATTAGTACTGTAGCACTAGAGGAAGCTTAAGCAAGAAAAAAAAATAAAGGCCCCCTATGCAGTTACTCATCTTGGTGGCGAGATTGTGACGCAAGCTGATTGCACACTTGCCACCTACCAGAAACCTAGAGCTCTTTGTTCACTTTTGTGTTGGAAGTCACTTTGCTTTAAAGAGGGCCCGTGCACTAGATAGAGTGAAGTCTGGGGAAAACATCTCCTCGGCAGCTGGAAAACTCTCCCATTTGCTGAAAGGAAACACACAGGCTGAGGAGGGAAAACGTTGACTTCATGCTGGATGCTAGAACAGAACTGTGCTACTTCACAAGACCCTCTGTATAATGTGCACATAGCAGTATCGATGGAAGCGTTTTGCCAACATCCTGAAAGAGAAGGAGTTACGGAATCTGAAATGTCCCACCATTCCTTTTGCATTTGCAGTGACATTGCACTGTCACTGTTGCATTTCCCTGCACTTTGCACACATCATAGGAAGACACGTAAACGATGCCTTATTTAAGGAAAGGGCATCTTCTACCACCAAAACACAGTGGTAGAGGAGCAACCCGCATCATTTAACATAGGACAAACTTTACTCCCATCGTTAGGTCCTTATTTATGGTTTATGGCAGCGGTGCTAGGACAGTAACTTAAGCACCTTTCTTCTTCGTGGGGGGAACAGAGTGTGACCCCTCCTTGGCTTCCTGCAGCTCTTCTGGGCTCTTGGGCCTCACTGACAGGAGCAGGGAAGGTGGTGGAAGATGAAGAGGAACCTGTAAAAAGCTGTTTGGTAAACATTAGTAGTGATTTAATGCTTCTGTGCAGGACCATAGTGGCATGCTTAAGGTATTTAATTTTTCTTGTTAACTAATGGAACTGTATCAACCAAAGAAGCCTTTCTGTCTGCATTACAACTGCAATGTAACATTATTCCGACATACTGAAGAGCTCAACCATTTCTGAGCCCTAGCTTAAAGTCTTTCTACTCACAGTGCAGTGTACTTCAAGTATTAGTACTACCCCATCATTAAACTTGGTCCAAATTCAGTACAAAGTTTTATTGTAGAAGCAGCGATAAAAAGGGTATATTTGCAAGGAGATTTACTCCAGGCTGCCTCATTCCTGAACTACAATGATGGCTGCACAGTCTCCATTCCTAGGGTGGTCTTTTACAATCAGATCTCACACTACAGTCGCTTGTTCAATACACCTGCACACTCTACTCCAGCCTTTCTTCAGGGACCGAGAAATATCATCCAAGAAGGCCACCTTATACAGCAGAAATGGCCCTTCAGCAGCCACCATCCCTCGGAGGCAGCAGCCACCTGTTGCAGTGTAACCGTGCAGAGCGCCCTGCACCGGAGCTTCCCCCCGACGCAGGCTGCTTCGAGGTTGAAGGGCAGAGCTGATGCTGCCCAGCGCAGGCACCGCCAGACAGATGGGGGCACTGCACCCCTGGTAGCAGACAGCACGTGTGTATAGTGTGTGTCCTGAGGAAAGCTGGAGGGGTTCCTTATCACTAATGAAAATTGATTAATGGATGAAGTTTTTTGCTGTGCACTTGGTATGAGCTATGTGGTTATGAAAACTGAAAAAATTACAAACAGTAATGATACCCCTGAAAAACCAGTATGTCAAAGCAAGGGGTAGAAATAAAGCCTCATTCTCACTCCTGCTGTTGGCTTTTTGTACCTTTCACTGACTCAACAGACACCTGCCCTGGGTCACTGATGCAGGGAGCAAACATGGAGCAGGGCTGCTGCCTCCAGCTACATGAACCTGCTCCATGGCCAGGAGGAAGCAAGGAGAGCACCTGCTGCTCACACCCCTGCTGGAAGCCAGACCAGACTCCTGTGCTGACCCAGAGCACTCCCTGCTCGACCAGCTCCCGGCAGGGGGAACGCCATAACCCCCCTTATGTCACCCAGGATCCCCTGTGATACTGGCCTGGAGATGGGATGAGCTCCAGCCTGGCCCAAGGCAAAAAATCCAAATGAAAGCACTTCCCAAAACCCCTCCACAAGCCATGGAGGGCTGGGCTAGTGTGGAGAAAAGGCAGCTCTCCCACAATTAACTCAACAGGCAAGCTGGCTTTATTGTCTTTCAACTTTATAAACAGATAATCTCACTCTTCTATACATTCCATTAATAGGAAATTCTTTACATTATTAACATAATAAATAATGTTTACTCAGCTGTGCAAGTCAGAGTGCAAAATGCATCACACTCTTCTCCAAGTGGTAACTCATCAAAGCACATAGTTCAAGTTAAAAGCAAGGTGCCAGGAGGGAATGGCATGATTGAGGCACTTGCACTTTAAAACACTTATGGCCTATCTCCCTCCTTTGCTACTCAAAAGCAGGGACTAAGGGGATTTTATCCCCAGGATCCTATAGCTTCGTCACAAAGTATGATTTCTAAAGAAACATTTCACCCCTTCGGACGTAAAAAAATAAAATAATAAAAAAATAAATCATTAAGCAAAATCATTCAGAAGTTACTTTGTTCCTTGAGTACTCTGACACCCACTGCTGTTAATACTGACTAGTGGGATGTGGCAGAACAAGAGCTAGGAAAGGTTTGAGGAGAGCTAAGCAAAACCCCCTTCAAGAGGTTCACCTCGTTTCTTGCACACTCTCAAAGCCTGAGGAATAGAACTGACAAATCCCCTTAAGACCTGGGGGTGCAGCATCATTTTCAGAAAGATGCATTTTTCGAAGCACCCTGGAATACTGGAGCTTGCAGAGAGCCCTGGGAAACCACCCTGGCACTTCACAGGAACCAACCCACACAGACATGCTGCGGTCTGGCACGCTGGAAGGGAAGAGGGGCAACTGCTGGACACCCATGTTCAGAGTCAGTAGCTGGATACTCTACAAACGGAATGTGTTTAAGTGTGTGGAATATATACACGCAAACCCAGACAGGGAGAACTGGCCCGTATTTCAGAGGTGCACTGAGGACACTGCAGTCTCTTCCACAAAGTGAGAGGCAGCTGCTTTATGCCCACAACACAGGACAGCTGCTCACTGGGCTGACCTCAGGAACACCCAGAGCAGGGCAGGGCGCTCAGTAGTCCCAGCTGATATCGTCTCTCTGCAGTGATGTCTGCAGGGTCTGCATGTCCCTCAACAGCTGCAGGTTCTTCCGACTCTTCTCTCCAGGTCGGACTTTGATGGAACCGGCGTCCTTTCCTTTTGTGGTCACCGTAGTTGTCACTTTGACCTCACTAACAGGAAGCCTGCTGTCCTTCATCTGCTTGGCTGAAGTCTTTCTGGACTTGCATTCTCTCTTAAGTCTCTCTAGCTGAAAGAGAAGTCCAAAGTAAGTGTTCAGCATGGAACTTGTTTTGGATACATTCTGCATTGCCCCCAGAAGCCTGAAACACCCTCCTCATGCTGTCTCCTTCCTCTATCTCAATGCTTAACTCACCCAGCAAAGCAAAAGGATATTTCTAAGTCATCTAATCCCAGATAACTGAAATAGAGAAGATTGAGAAGGGATCTGATCAACATGTACAAGTACCTGAAGGGAGAATGTAGGGAGGATGGGGCCAAACTCTTCTCTGTGGCAGCCAGTGACAGGACAAGGGGGAATGGGTACAAGCTGAAACACAGGAAGTTCCATCTCCATATGAGGAAGAACTTCTTTCCTGTGAGGGTGACAGTCCTGGAACAGGCTGCCCAGAGAGGCTGTGGAGTCTCCTTCTCTGGAGATCTTCCAAACCCGCCTGGATGCCACCCTGTGCCCCGTGCTCTGGGTGTCCCTGCTGGAGCAGGGGGGTTGGACTAGATGATCTCTAGAGGTTCCTTCCAACCTCAACCATCCTGGGATTCTGTGCGATTCTGTGGTCTCTCCTCCCACTTTAGGGAGCAGTTATCCTGGCAGCTGAGCCCTAAAAACTTTTGTCATTATCTACTCAGAATTATATAGCATATCCCCTTATAGAATCATAGTCAGAATTACACAGTATATTCCCATATAGAGCCATTCCCATCATTACTACACATATGTTTTGCTGCAGTCATATCACTGAAGATCACAGAAAAGATCAAAGGTAACTAATGTTTTTAACTGTTTTTAAAAGACATGCAAATGGATACAGGTAAAATGTGATCAGCAGTTTTTTCAGTACCTATTTTGTGTACTATGTTACACATGATCAGGGTGAATCTTCTTGATTCATATAAACTGAACTGGATAAAACACAGAGGACTGAGCTCTCTGGAAGAATTTAAAATGAATGAACATTGGACAAAAGAGGAAATCAAGAAGTTTCACAGTTTTTAGCAAACAGCTACACTACTCAATTTATAAAGTTATTTTAAACAGAAACACTTTTTTATACAAAGCAAATCAAAGCACAATTAAGTAGGTCACTTATGCCAAACAAACGGGAAGCTGCTAAAAGACTCAGCTAAACAGTGGGAAGGGCCCTGGGAATTCAGGCATCTCTTTAAATACAAGTTCACTTGCTAAAAGTTCTGCATTGTCTTCAATGCAAAGAGCAGAACTTCATGAAAGCTTCTCCCTAGCATCTAGCACAGCTGGTTGTTGGTAGGAACTCCAGGCAAAGCAACTGCTTTGGTTCAGCACACATGCTCTGGGGAGAGTGCAACTGATCTGAGCACGGCCGTCTCCAGAGGGTCACCTACCCGAGCAGCAATAGCCTAGGGTACAAGGCAGAGGGGCATGAGGAAACACTAGGAAGACAAAGAGTTTGCTGCAGAAATACTGGGATAGAAAGATGGAGGGGGACACACTCAGGAGTTCCAAATTCAACTTAAAAAGTAGCTATTTCTGCTTTGTCCAGTTGCTGCTGGAACAGGCTAAGAATCCTTGAGACAACAGGACCCAGATGGGCAACTCACCCGTGCCCGATGCCTCCGCACCTTGCTGATCTGCTCCGCCTTGGCCTCCATCCTTCCCACCAGCGCCTCCAGCTCTCGCTCAAGTTCTTCCCTCACACCGACCGTGGGCGCTTCCTGCACGAGCTTGGCCAGCTGCTGGTGATCACTAGCAAGGAATCAGAGACAGCGCGGCTCGCATGGGACCCCTCTGCTGCCGAGGCTCATGCGTCCCACCGCGCAACGCCGCCTCCACAACAGCACAGCGGCACAGAAACGCTCACTCAGGATTAAGAAACCAGGAACAGCAGGCTGCCTGGTTGGCGTTATTACAGCAGCACGTCCCAGCAACACTGCTGCAACATGAAGCCACTTGCATTGACAACTTCAATACACTCGCTCAGAATTATAAAGCAACTTCTTAAAGAGATGGTCTCAACGCTCCTTCAGTCACTACTTGTAGACTGGTATGTCCTGGGGTTGTGCAGTAGGATAACAAGTTGTGTTTTATTAGCCTGGAGGAGCAGAATTACTACTAAAATGATTTAACAAGAGTATTTCTCCACTCAGCCACCATAGGTTGCTCCTATGCTTTCTCCCACCAAACTTGATGCTGCTGCATGCAAACCCAGCTATGAAGTCTACACCATTTATTAGAACTTAGCTTTAATTGCTAGAAGAGAGAACTATTGTAACAACTGGAAATAATAGATAATGTGCCACAGATTATCCGAGACCATCGTCCTTTTCAGGAAAAAAAACACCCAGTTTTAAAGTAAAAGACAAAGGTATAGCACACTACACAATATCTGCAATGAGAATATACCAAACTCACAAACTCATCTGCCCAAATTCATCTTGTAAAGTCAGCAGCACTTCCGAGAGCTCCTCCTGGGATGAGGATGACTCCTTTGGCACTGATGACCTTTGGCTTTTGCTGGCAGGACGGGCACTACTGATGGGTTTTGCCAGGGGAGCATCATTGACCACACGGCTGTTGCACAGCGCCTTGGTGTGCTGCTTCATCAGGTGCAGCACGTGCTGCACGTTGGCACCGACCGAATGGCTGGGGCTAGTAGACTGCAAGGAAAAATAAAACACAACTTAAAACTGCATTACTAACAATGGAGAACATTTAGAAAAGAATGCTGATATAATTTTATTTGCTGCCAAGAATGTATTTGTTTGAACGAATATGCACTAACAAGAACAGCTTGCCCAGTAGCATGGAGACAGCCCCTTTTGGAAGTGTCAGTTCAGCAGTTACTGCAGGGGAATATTGCAGGGCTTTAGGAGACAACCTCAAAGGACAGAGTCAAAGAACCCAGAACCCCCTGACCACAGGGTGTCAGGAGTGCACCAAGGCACAGCCATGTGAGGAGCTGCATCTACTGAGCTTTAGCTTCGGCATGGAGCAGCTCACCTTCCCAGCTACAAAGGGGACATCACCCAGAGACAGTCTGTAATGGGGCTGCGTAGGGAGATGGCTGGTAAGAGGGCACTTCTGGAAGGAAAGAAGAGAGAAATATTTATCAAAGATGACACTAAGGCAAACCCATTTACAGCTGCTGTGTAACCAGAGGCAGCCTTCTTCCTGAATCCACACACAGAGCCCTTATTTTACTGTTCAGTGAGTGTCTTGCTCCCCCTCCATGTTACCTTATCTGGCTGCTTGGTTTTCTTCCTGGGTCGTCTTGCTTTTGGAGAGAGTAATGGCGAGGCTGCTTGAATTAAAATTCTGTTGGTTTCCAGACCTGTTTGAAGCTATAATTGAGAGAAAGATGAGAATTACTGAAGTTGCTTTAACAGATAATCAGCGACAAAAAGTGATTTGAGGTTTTACAAAACAGAATTTTTTAAAAAGCAGGCTCTGGGGAAGCCAAAGCTGCAGCATCTGAAATGCTCCTGCAGTCCAAGTTCAATTTAAACATCAAATACCTCCTCTAGTAGCACCTCTCACCACTAAACCTAGCAAGTTGAAGAATTAATCTCATGGAATAACTTCCATGCAGGCAACTGCTGAAGCATCAGCTCTAGGCTTTATCATTGACTAAATACAGAAGTAGTCAAAATACCTCACCCCAGGCTTTTATTTTCTTTTTATGGAGCATAAATTTAAGATGTTTACAACTATTCCTCTATTCCTTCTGTTCTACTGGACCTGACAGAGAAATACACACACACACATATATACATACTCCCTATTTATCAGAAGAGTTAATGTTAGTATTACCACTGTCAATGAGCTTTCCCTATATACACTTACCTGTTCCTTCCAGCAGAAAGCTGTGGCCTAGCTTTGGAAATCATCCTTCCCTAACCAACCTCAGCTGAAAGCATTCACAAGACTCTTCACAATTGAGACTCTCCCCCAGAAATTTATTGCAAGGATTAATTTTTAACATGTTATCTACATGATACTTCAGCATACACCAACAGATATGTAATGGATATAACACTCTAGAAGTCCAGTGTCTTTATAGGCTCGTAACCAGTAGTAGATTGCATCTTACTTGCCTCTTTCTATCACATTTCTAGTTAAAATTCTAGACAGGAGCAAACTTTTTGACCTCGATCCATTCAAGAGAGAGAATACCTCTGGAAAAAAAAAAAAAAAATCCTAAAAACAATTCTTAGTGTTCCCCATTAACTGGGCCACTGATTTCAGGACAAACTACTACTTCTGCAAACAGCAAAGTGCATCTTGTTCCTATATTACCAGCAAAAACCTGCTGGTAAAACTGCAAGGCTCCCTCCACTGCACAGCCAAAGCCATGCTTGAGCCCAAGCAGTTACTCTGTTTCTGTTTTTTAAAATCAAAATCCTCTAATAATTTGTCCTCTGAAAATACAGCATTTTTGAAAAGCTCATTTTCAGTCAAAGTCCAAGTTAAGCTTATCAGGTTAGAAGCTAAGGGAACTCCATAAAGTAGATTAAAATGCATTTTTTAGAACTACTCAGAGCAGTTTTACAAAACTGCAACTAGTGAAACGCTATTAGGAAGCACACAGATTAACCTGAGAAATAATAAATTTAGCAGAAACTCTTAAACACCTCCCTGCCCTCCCTAGAGGAATTCAATATAATCTGGTTTCACAAAGGAGAAGGGAATTCCAACAGGACTCTTGGAAGCAATTATGACTCCAGGTCACCAAATGAACCCAAGTTGTCCAGACTGCTCAGCAGGTTCCTGTAAGTGCTTTTTGCCAAGAACAGAGGCTTAGATCTCCACTTCAGCAAGTATGGGAACTTTAGGAAAAACTCAAGCACACAAAGCCTATAAAGACAGACTTAAATCCAGGAGGGAGTTAATAGAAGGTGCTGACAAGTTCCTGACCATGTAGGAGTCAAAAATACATATTTCTGCTCTCCTGAAGAGAGCAGAAGCAGCACTGAAACACACACACACACACACACCCCCCTGCTGGAAGGAGCGACATAAGAAAAAAACTCTGAATATCCTCAAAAGTAACCACCTACCACAGTGATGTGCTTTTAAAGTTCAGTTTTGCTGTTAACTTGAAGCACTAAGTTACACAACTGTATGGAACAGCCAGTTCTGTTGGAAAAGTGATTAACTGGAACCTCACACAGCCTCAACCATCAACCGGTATGAATTCCTACTCTCCTTTTCCAACTAGCCTCGTTTGCTGAGTAAATTAAGCTTCAGTGCACACATCTCTTAGCATGCTCTTCAGGGGAGAGAAAAAAAAAAAAAGAGTATTCAAAACATTCAGACAAGGAGGTGGGGGGAAAAAAAGAGGAGGGAGGAGACGGGGGCTACTCTTGGTATATTGAACTTCAGACCAAAAGAAGGAAGAAAAAAAAAAAAAGAAAGAAAAACACGACACCTCCGTATGTGTTTGCATTTTGCATATAGGAGTCCATACGAGCATGTTTTATTGAAAAGATCATGGAAACAAAGGGCAGACTGCAATGCATACTAGTACAACAAATTTCCTGTTGGTTACCTCAGCTGCTTTTTCCTGAACGAGCTTCCTTGCATGTTCTTCCTCCTGGAGCTTCTGTTCCAGCTCTTTCATTTTTTTCTAGTCAAATGAAAACAATAGCATTATTAATGAAATCCACAATGCTGAGTTCAAGCTAGACTGTATTGATTTTAATTATCGCTTCAAGTCAAGTAAAAACTTCAGAATTCAAATAATTTATGTGTAGCTGTAAATACAAGAGTCAAATGTTTATATTCAAAACTGTATTGATTTTTCTACCTTTAAACTCCGATACCAACTGCAAAAGTCATCGTGAGCCTTAAATCAGCCTCAAAGAGGAGCAATAAGAGAACAGTATCTTTATTCAGTTGTATAAATAACGAAGGAGACTTTTATGCACATTAATGTGAAAAATTTTGTAAAAAGAGCTAATACAGGTATGTCACCTCTCATTACAGCTGACAGAGGACACTGCTTAAGACTATTAAAATCTTTTTTGCTAGTATCCCTAATGCAAACTCTTGATGGGGGAAAATTTTGAACATCTGACACCCTTCTATTAAGGGCAAGGATAAAAGTCTGCACACAATGTATCTAAGATCTTCAAGCAAAACTGAGATATCATCTTTATGGTTAAAAGCAGCCCCAAAGTCTTTCAAAAGCTCCTTTCAAAGAAAAAAGGGATCAGGAAAGATGCACATTTCTCTTTGTAGACCCTTTCACAAAATGAACACCTTGTTCAAGCAGGTTTCGTTTAAACTCCTAATATAGAGGTTATTAACTAAGTTTCTGATTTCTCATCACAGGAGAATGAAAACGACCCAGTGCACTGGACACAAAACCTGCTCTCTTTCCCAAAGGCTGAACACTGCTCACAGAGCCCCTGGACAGATTTTACTAAGAAAAAGCACACAACTCAATAGCAGTTATAATTGCACACTTCTATTTACATTATTTATAAGCTCGGTACACTGAATGCTCAAAGGGATGATAACAGTTCTGCTTTACTGAAGTATAACTAAGATATGAATGATTACACAAAGGTAAAAGGCAAATACTGCATACGCACCCACAAAGGAAGCACTATATAAAGGAACTAGCTTTTCCTGTTATATTAAATATAAGAACCCTTTTTGATAAGGCCTGTGTGACTTCCCATACAAGTCAGGTATACTCCAGATAAAGTTGCCTTCTGCCCTTTTCAGCATGTGTCACAACTCTTGTTTTCCACGGGGACAGTCACACAGAAATCTCATTTTAACATGTTATATAGGAGAAGATTTTTTTAGTATGGAAGTTCTGAAGCAATCTTGTGCTTGAACCCAGGGCTGACAGGTAGCTGAACCTCTGCTTCTGTGTGATACAGACTAAGCAATCACTCAGGCAGCCGCCTTAGCTGCAAGCACAGCTCAAACTCAGAGCTCATGTCAGAGCATGCTGGAGAGTCTCCATCCAA